GCTTCGGGCAACTACTTCCAAAACTCCTCACTAAACACGGTGGTGGCTGTGGCCGCAGCTGTGGATCTCGGGAATCCCAAAAAGTGCCGCGCCCGATTTGGCCTTGAACAACAGAGTCGATGGTGCAAACCCTGCAGGTACCCACCGATTTCTCCTCAGCAAAATAATTTCACGCTTCATATTTTTTTATGGATTTAAGGGAAAAACACGGCTGTTTAAGATACCTCTATCTATCTCTCACATCAAGCCTTCTTTTGAAAGGCGAAAACTGCTATCCAACTTTGATTTAGATATATTTTATTTGCATATTCGAACAAACAGAATTTGCAGTTATATCAGGGCTTAGCTGCCGGTTTTTACCAGATCCTGTGGCTTATGACACAGACGAGGTAGAATCGATTACTTGTAAGATATTAAAGCACTAAATGGAGCTTCGCAGCAACTAAATGAACTAGGTTTGGTGGATATTACCGAGTGTATTTTTACCTCAGGGGACAGACAAACGCTTTGTTTTTATCACTCATTGTTGTTACCATGACTTTGGTGTCAATTGAGGCGCTAACCGATCAGCGTACCTGATCAATGAGCGGCCCAATATGCCATATATACATCTAGATATATATTGAAACAGGAATGGGTACACACCGAAGCAAACATGCTCCGTACACCTCCTGAACAATCTAGAGAAGAAATTAATCAATACTAGATCTCTGTTGCGTCTTTAACTGAACGCTATCGATCAGAATGGATCTCCTCTTTTTCAACTGCTATGCGCAATGGGCCTCAACCCCTGTTCTGCACATCCAGACATCTGCTCACCTGACTGAATGTCCTTTTCTCGTATTTCTTTTTGTCTAGACGAAAGAAGAAGTGCGTTCGCTTCCTCACCGACGCCGAGTACGATGAGGCGGTGCAATCCGGCAAGCTGCGATCCGACCCTTCCTCGCCCTCCAACGGCGGCGGTGACGCTGCTGCTGCCTGCCTTGGAGGCAGCGGGGCAGCCGGTCTGAACGTCTGCACTAAAGAGCTCCACTGGAATGACTCCAATTTCAGCCAGTCACGGCAGCAGCAACAGCAACGACAG